CAATGTACCCTAAGAACTCGATGTACCCTTGGATCGTGGGCCGTAAAATTGAAAAAAAAATTATGGCCTAGAAATTTCGGATTTCTAGGCCACTAAAACTCACAAATCTTCCAGCTCCTCCGAATTTTTGTTCTTTATAATTGCAAATTTTTGAAATTTCGAAACTGTTTCGAATTTTCGACGAATTCAGAGCTGTGCAATAATGAGGTCCAATAAGGTTAACTGAAATTTGTTTCTAAATTCCCAAACTTCGAAATGTATTCAAAAACTCACAATCTGTAACCCAAGGATACACAGAAATCCTCTGAAATACTGAAACTTCAAAATGTTCGTTAATTTTCTGAAGAATTTCTAGAAAGTCCTCATTCAATTCAGCTTCCCATCGTTTTTGTTTATTGAGGGAGTAGATCATGAAAGGGATCAAATCCAGGCAGATGTGCGGAGAATGGAAAATCTGAAAATTAAAATTTTGAAAAAATTTTGATTTTTAATTATTTAATTTTTTCAAAATAGAATAAATGAGTGTAGAAATGAGTAAGAACATGTTCGAATCAATGTTATATCTGGAAAATTCGATAATTTACAAAGTTCCTACTTTGACGATTTATACCTTTGGACTTTGGATCTTCCCAATTTCTTAATAATTCGGGTTACTAAAATTCTGCATTTCTGATTTTTCGAATATTGGAACTTCCAAATTTCTAGGATTTCCAATTCAGAAATTCTCCGAGTATACGATTTTGTGAATTTCCAAGAACAAAGTTCAGAAATCCGGAGCGGAACTTTGGAAATTGTAAACTCGGAAAGTTCGAAATCTCCACACCTCAAATGTGTTCTGAATTTCAAATTTCTCAAGTTTTCCAATCATCTAATTTTCGAATTCTCGAAAACTCCGAGTGTGCGAAGTTGTGGATTTTACACATTCCGACTTTCAGAATCTTGAATATCCAGAATTCGCAAAGTTCGGAATTTTAGAAATTGAATTCAAACTCTAAAACAGGCAACTAATTAGTTCTGGATCCGGATTCCGAACTCCTCGGTCCGGATTCCTGATTCCGGATTTCTGGGCCCGGATTCCGGATTCCGGATGAAGCTGATTAACTATTTTTCGAAAAGTTATGATTTTTTCTTTTTGTTACCATACTTTTGGCATACCCTGTATAAGGTTACACGTACTGTAAGCGGAGCCCAGGAGGTTTGGCCCCGGAGGGGCGTAAACCGACTGGTTTTATGATTTTGAAATTTTGAGAACTTTTTAAAAAAATTTCTTACCTCTGAAATTTCAGGATCTGCATGTAAAAGTTTAAAGATGAATCCATGATGCTTGTGTTGACCCATTTTCCAGTTTAGCAAACTATTTTTTTGGTATTTGCAACGATAGAATTCTGGCATTTTTTGGAGATCTGAAAATCAGAAATTCAGAAATTCAGAAATTCAGGAATTCAGAAATTTAGAAGTTCAGAAATTCAGAAATTCAGAAATTCAGAAATTCATTAATTCAGAAATTCAGAAATTCAGAAATTCAGTCATTCAGAAATTCAGTCATTCAGAATTTCAGAATTTCAGAAATTCAGAAGTTCAGAAATTCAGAATTTCAGAAATTCAGAAATTCAGAAATTCAGAAATTCAGAAATTCAGAAGTTCAGAAATTCAGAAGATCAGAAATTCAGAAATTCAGAAATTCAGAAGTTCAGAAGTTCAGAAATTTAGAAATTCAGAAATTCAGAAATTCAGAAATTCAGAAATACAGAAATTCAGAAATTCAGAAGTTCAGAAATTCAAGAATTCCAAAATTTAAATAATTTAGAAATTGAAAAAAGGTTTTTGAGTAATCAAATGAATTCATAAAAGTTTTAATAATTTTTTTAAAAATCCAAGTTTCAGTTTCCTTTAAAAAAGTTTTCCCATCAAACATCCTTTTTCTCAAAAAAAAAAGTATTGCGAAATTTTTCACCAGGCGGTTGCCTGGTTTCTCCTATTTTTCCTCTTGTTCTTTGTGTCTAGCTTGATCAAAAATTTCGCGAAAAAAAGAAAAAATTCGTCACCAAAAATAAATATGTTGAACTTTTCCTTATCATAAAAATAAAGACTAATACATTACATTTTTTTCGGAATAAAAGTCATCAAAAAATTTCAGAATGGAAAAATTTCTGATTTTTTGAATTTTTCGAAATTTCGATTTTTTGAATTTTTCGAAATTTCGATTTTTTGAATTTTAGGCCATTTTTGATCTATTTTTTTTCTGTTTTTGGGTCTTTTTCATCCATTTTTCGTTCGTTTTTCGTATTTTTTTTTCCAATTTAAAAACTATTATTTTCAGCAGTTTCCAGCTCTTCAAAATGCTCCAAAAACCCTCCAAAAACTCTCGGCTCGCCGAGCACACAATGTCTCATCTGAAAACCTGGAATATTCTGGTCAAAACGTTTCATATTCCAGAAGAAAATCTGAAATTTTTTGAAAATTCTGATTCTGATTTTTTCCCATTTCTCCCTTACTCAATGAACAAGAAACGCAGATGGGAAGTGGATTTTTTGGAGGATTTGGCGGGAATTCAAAAATCTGAAAATTTCGAAATTTTGTTTTTGGAGAGAACCCGAAAAGGAGCTTACGATTGGCCAAGTAAGCGAATTTGTTTAAAATTTCGAAAAAAACGTTTTTAATGAGGATGTTTCTTAGTAAGAATCTTTTTTAGTGAGAAGCTTTCTTAGTAAGGATCTTTCTTAGTGATGAGCTTTTTTAGTGAGGATCCAAGTATCAAAATGAAATTTTTTTTGAAAAATGTGTTCGGAACATTTTGAAGATTTCCACAAAGACCGAAAACAAAAACAAAAACAAACAAAGGAGAGAGGAATCGAACCCAACCCTAGTCAGTTACCGTTCTCCCTCTTCACCGCTACACCACCAGTCGCTGCTTTCAACTAGTTCCACAATGCATATAAGAAAGGGGGAGATCTGGCCGTCAAAATATTCGAATTTCAGCCAAATTTGAAACTTGATTTTCTCGAAACTGGTAGCTCCTCAGCAAAATCTGAATATATATTTGAAAATTTCTTATTCTCAGCTTTCGAATGATATAGGCCTCATATCAAAGTACCCCAGTTACAACCTTCCCTAGTTAGTAAGGATCTTTATCAGTAATGGTCTTTCTTAGTGAGAACCTTTCTTAGTGAGAATCTTTCTTAGTGAGGAAATTCCTTAGTGAGAATATTTCTTAACAACGATTTCTCTTAGTGAGGATCGTGCTAGTGACCCTTTTTAACGATAGTTTTTCAGAGTGAGAATCTTTCTTAATGAGATTTTTTAAATGAGAATTTTTCTCAGTGAGAATCTGCCTTAGTGAAAATCTTTCTCAGAGAGAATATTTCTTAGTAAGAATCTTTTTTAACTCCAAAAAGTTTTCTTTTCAGAATATTTGGAATCCACAATGTCAGAACAATTCAGAATTCGAGTGGTCCATAGAATTTCTAGAAATCCAAATTTTGAAATTTATGAAAAACAAGAAATCAATTCAATTTTTGGACAGGATTTCAAAAATTTTGAAGCTTCAAAATCGGAAAATTCTGGAATTATCGCCTATAATTTTATTAAATCTCCGGAAAATTCCATGAAAATTTTCGGGAAAAAATGTATAAGTGAAAAGGACAATTCTTGTGAGTTATTTATTTGTTTGAAATTTATAAAATTTAAAATTTAAACGTTTTCAGGGCCATACACTTCTGGATGGATTCGTGTGAGAAGGCAGAAAAATCTGAAAAAGGAATTGAAGCGCTTTGAAATTTTTGAGGAGAATTCTGAAGAAAATTCAGAATTTTTGGAAAATTTAGAACCACAAAAGCCGAAAAATCAAAAATTGTACGTTTTTTTTTAATTTTTCGAAATTACGAAATTTCTGGATTTCTGAATTTCTGAACTTCTGAATTTCTGAATCTCTGAATTTCTGAATTTCTGAATTTCTGAATTTCTGAATTTCTGAATTTCTGAATCTCTGAATTTCTGAATTTCTGAATTTCTGAATTTCTGAATTTCTGAATTTCTGAATTTCTGAATTTCTGAATTTCTGAATTTCTGAGTTTCTGAATTTCTGAATTTCTGAGTTTCTGAATTTCTGAGTTTCTGAATTTCTGAATTTCTGAATTTCTGAATTTCTGAACTTCTGAATTTCTGAATTTCTGAATTTTCGAATTTCTGAATTTCGTAATTTCTGAATTTCTGAATTTCTGAATTTCAGATTTCCGAATTTCTGAATTTCTGAATTTCTAAATTTCTGAGCTTCAAAACTTTTAAATCTGTAATTTTCAGCTACAACTTGGAGGAGCATTTCGTAGAAAATCGAAGAAAGCGACGGGTCAAAAAATGAAAATTGTGCTCATTTTTCAATTTTTGTAAAAAATTTTAAGTTTTGTATAAAAATCTAGGACTTATAGGAAATAATAATTTTTTGAAATTTTATTTTTTTTTCTTAGTAAGAATTTTTCTTAGTCAGGATGTTTTATCTTTTCTTCTAGTATTTTCCCTGATTTTTTAAAAAATCATTTTCAGATTCCAATTCTCCATGAAATCATAATTTTCTTTTCCTAAATGATTTCATTTTGTTTATCACATTTTTCAAATTTCAATGAAATCATTTTCCCTTCAATTCACCAAAGTTTCCGCCCTCTAAAGAATCCAAAATCCAAAATCTCATGTTTTCTCTCATAAATCCCCCCCCCCCCATGACCATACATATAATCATATGAAATCTCAAGTTTTGTACTTTTTCCAAACCACCAAAATATCAAAATTCTATCTTGTGATATTGCTCATGTGATAAATCACATTATAATATCCTTATGATTGCTCATGTGTAAATATACGCTTTCGGAAAACAACAATTATTTGTAATGTGCGCCTTTAAACTCGATTTGTCATGTATGAGAGAACAAAGTACATTTGTTTAGGGTCCATGAATAATTAAGGGGTCTTTTGGGATTTGTATTAATTGTCATTGTTTCGTTAGTAAGGAGACTTCTTAGTGAGGATTTCTCTTAGTAAGGGTCTCTCTTACTTAGTGATAAAGGATTTTCCTTAATAAGAATCCTTCTTAGCGAGGAATGAAAATCCAATTTTATTGACAGAAGAAAGTTAAAAATTTAAAAAAAAATATATTTAAAAAATTGGTGTTGAACGATTAGCATATGATGATGTTTAGAAGAAATTCTGGAAAAATCCAAATTTTCAGAAATTTCAAAATTTCGAAAAATTCTTACCGTAAGCCAACCAGAGATAGGAACTCTGAGAAAAAGCAGAATTCACGAAAATTAATGAAAAGACTAAAAAAATCTGAAATTTTCAAAAAAAAAATTTTTTTTGGAAAATTTCAAAAAAATTTGAAAATATCGTACCGTAATCCAACTTAAACGGTCCTTTGTGCTGCTATAATGGTCTATGGGAACCCTGAAAGCAAAAAATTAGAAAAATCATAATTTTCAAAATTTTCAAAAAATCTGAAATTTCCAGAAAAAATTTTTTCTGGAATCTTTGAATTTCTAGAATTTCAAAATTTCAAAAATGAAATCAATTCTTACCGTATTCCAACTCCAATTCGATCCCAAAACTTCTAATTGCTAGAGTCCATTTTTAATCATTTCTGAAATTCCAGATTTTCAAATTTTCAAATTTCCCGCCAAACCTTACCAGTGAAAATAGAAAAATCTCAATAAAAAAATCATATCAAAACCTCCAAACAGACGGTGGTTATCACATATCAACGATGGAATTCAGAATGATGCCAAAAAAATTGTTCTCAACGCCAAATTTTAGGCTCCGCCCCTTTTCTCTGCGTCTAGGCAAAAGGGGGCGGAGCTTTCTAATGAAAAAAAACAATGCAAGAAAATTAGAGGGTCTAGAGAAGTACCAGAAAAGGGGCGGAGCTTCGGAAAAGTATAAAAAAGGAGGAAAAGAGGAATGGATAGGAAACATATCGGTGTCTTTTTTCTAAAAATCTGTTTCTGAATACGGATTATTCTTATTTTTCTGATTATACTTTCAATTAACTAATTGGCCAATTAACTATAATTACTGGTTTCTAAAAAATCGGGTCTTTTAGACAGTAAGTTTTGGCGGAATACTTGAATTTTTCAAAAAAATCCGATTTTCCAGATTCTGAATGCGGAACTCCAACTGGGTTTTTATTTGATTGGTGGGTAATTAACTAATTTAAAATTTTTTAATTTAAAAAATTTGGACTCCTAGCAGCATAAATGTGGCATTAGAAAAATGTGAGTTTTGAATTGTTTTTTTGAAAAAAAAAATTTTTTTCTGAAAATTTTCAGATTCTCCAATTCGGGGTCAATCGACTACTATGGACAAAATTACGATTTATTAATTTTTTTATTAATTTTAGAATTTCAATAAAATAATTTTATGATATTTTGAATTTTTATTACAGTATAAACAAGACTAGGTTACGTTTTTGGGATTTTTGTTTGGCCAAAAAGAACAAAAATGACGAAAATTGAAATTTATTGAAACATAATGGTGTTTATAGTCATCTTGAAGCTCAAAACGCGCCAAATCGGACTCTGCAAAGATTTTTCAATTCGGTTGAAATATAACCGAGTTACGGTAGTTTAACACTTTTCGGGTCTCACCACGAAAATCGTAAAAATCTTGTGATTTCGAATATGGTCTTGTTTATAGTCATCTTGAAGCTCTAGACAAGACAAATCAGACTCTGCAAAAATTTTTCAGTTTGGTCGAAAAATGACCTAGTTACGGTAGTTTCACACTTTTCGGGTCCCACCACAAAAATCATAAAAATCTTGAAATTTAAAATCTAGTCATGTTTATACTCATTTTGAAGCTCTAAACAAGCCAATTTTGAATCTGCAAACATTTTTCGATTCATCAGAAGAATAACCGAGATACAGTAGTTTGAACATTATACCTCAAAAATCACATTTTACAGAACCTAGCCTTGTTTATACTCATTTCGAAGCTCTTTGTACACTTATTCTGAATCTATAAGTTTCATTTTCCAATATTCAAAATTTCAGAAGTTATAGACCCTTTCTTCTCCCTTCAGAGATCATTAAAACAACCTTTTTCTCTCTCCTCCTTCTCTCTCACATCAGCTGACTACTAGTTTTCTCTTTTTCCTCTTTTTCTCTGCGTCTCACCCAAAATTCTCTTTCATCGAATTGTTGGTCTTTTTACATCAATTTCGTAATAAAAAATGCTAGCGCTCGCTAGAAACCAATCTCCAAAAATCTGTAAAATTTCATCGAGTACTGTAAAATGTGAAATTTGTAAAATTCAAAAATCGCATGGAAATCATTTTGGTGTGAATAGCTGTCGCGCCTGCGCCGCGTTTTTCAGGTATGGCTTTTTTTCAGAAATTCGAAAATTCAGAAATTCGAAAATTCAGAAATTCGAAAATTCAGAAATTCAGAAATTCAGAAATTCAGAAATTCAGAAATTCAGAAATTCAGAAATTCAGAAATTCAGAAATTCAGAAATTCAGAAATTCAGAAATTCAGAAATTCAGAAATTCAGAAATTCAGAAATTCAGAAATTCAGAAATTCAGAAATTCAGAAATTCAGAAATTCAGAAATTCAGAAATTCAGAAATTCAGAAATTCAGAAATTCAGAAATTCCGAGATTCAGAAATTCAGAAATTCAGAAATTCCGAGATTCAGAAATTCAGAAATTCAGAAATTCTGAAATTCAGAAATTCAGAAATTCAGAAATTCAGAAATTCAGAAATTCAGAAATTCAGAAATTCCGAGATTCAGAAATTCAGAAATTCAGAAATTCCGAGATTCAGAAATTCAGAAATTCTGAAATTCAGAAATTCAGAAATTCAGAAATTCAGAAATTCAGAAATTCAGAAATTCAGAAATTCAGAAATTCAGAAATTCAGAAATTCAGAAATTCAGAAATTCAGAAATTCAGAAATTCAGAAATTCAGAAATTCAGAAATTCAGAAATTCAGAAATTCAGAAATTCCGAGATTCAGAAATTCAGAAATTCAGAAATTCAGAAATTCAGAAATTCAGAAATTCAGAAATTCAGAAATTCAGAAATTCAGAAATTCAGAAATTCAGAAATTCAGAAATTCAGAAATTCAGAAATTTAGAAATCCTAAAACTCAAAAATTCAGAATATAAAAATTTTTAAGCCAAAAAATAAAATTTTCAGAAGAACAGTCCATTCCAAATGGAGCCAACTAAAGTGTCAGGGTGGCAGCTGTAATAAAATTACGTAAGTGTCAAAACACCTGAATTTTGGAATTGAAATTTAAAATTTCAGATTTTTCTGCAAACCATGTCGACTTCAACGATGTTTTGAGGGTGGTATGGTAACGGCTAGTGAGTTTTCAAACTTTTTTTTAATTTGGGAATTAAAAAAAACGAAAAATTTCAAATTCGAGAAAAAATGGCTGAATACAATGATTTTCAATTTTCGTGTAGAGACCCGAAAAGTGTAAAAATCACCGTATCTCAGTCATTTTTGGTGCTAATCGCAAAATTTTGAAATATTTGGATTTTTCTTGATTAGAGCTTTAAAATGAGTATAAACAAGGCTATGTTTCAGAATTTTTCAAATTTCGTCATTTTTAGGACCCAAAAATATTATAAAAACTAAAATGTCTTAAAACTAGCCTTGTTTATATTCAGTTTAAAGCACTAAACAAATTAAACTCAATACTGCAAAGATTTTTTGATTTGGTCAGAAACTGGCTGAGTTACGGTAGTTTTACACTTTTTGGGTCCCACCACGAAAATTCGAAAACTTTCAAACATAGTCATGATTATACTCATTTTAAAGCTAGAAACATGACAAGTTCAATAATATTAAATTTCTCCGTTTGGACAAAAATGGAGCGAGTTACGGTCGTTTGAACATTTTAAGCCAAAAATTATAGTTCTCAAAAACCTACCCATGTTTATACTCATTTTGAAGCTTGAAACATGACAAATCTAAAAATTGCAAAATTTTCAATTTTGAACAAAAATTGAACGAGATGCGGTAGTTTTCGAAAAAAATATATCCTCAACTTTTCAGATTTCCAATACAACCGAGACGGCATCTCTCCTCCATCGGACACCCTGGCCACTATAACTACCCTAAACACAATTCCCCCCTCCTTGGACCAATATCTCGGAAAACCGCATTTCTTATTTTTATCCGAGAAAAATCCCAAAAAAACGATAATCGATCTACATCGCCTTCTCGGAGAGGCCTCAAAAATTCTGAATTTAGGACCAGCGGCTCCAATTTTTTGCGGAGGAAATCAACTGAAAAAATTGAGTTTCGGGCTGAAAAATGATTTTAATTTGGCCAAATTGAAAATGGCAAAGAGGATGACGAAATCAGAAATCGCTGGAAATTGGGAGCACTATGTGAAGAAGGTGGCCACATGGCTCACACACTTTGATGAGTATAAAAAGTTATCTATTGGTCTTCAGGTACGTAAAAATTTGAATTTGGCGCGTTTAGAGCTTCAAAATGAGTATAAACATGACTAGTTGGAAATGTTGAGATTTTTACGATTTTCGTGGTGGGACCAAGAAAAGTGCAAAACTACCGTAACTCTTCCAATATTTGACCTGGATGAAAAATTTTTACAGATTTGAATATTACTTGTTTAGAGCTTCAAAATGAGTGTAAACACGACTATTTTAGAAATTACAAGATTTTTATGATTTTTGTGGTGGGACCCAAAATGAGTAAAACTACCGTAACTCGGCTATTATTTGACCAAATCGATAGTTTTGTGTAGATTTGCATCTGGCTTCTCTGAAGGTTTAAAATGAGTATAAACACGACTAGGCTCCGCCCCCTTTTGAATGGTGAAACTTTTTGACTTTAAAGGCGCATAGTTGGGTCCGAAAAATGAAAACCAGGGAAAGTAGGTCATGATTATACTCATTTTGAAGCTCTGAACAAGCCAAATTTAAAACTGCAAAAAATTTCCAATTTGATCTAACATTGAGCGGGATACAGTAGTTTTACACGTTTCGGGTCCCACCACGAAAATCCTAAAAATCTTGAAATTTCAAAACTTGTCATGTTTATACTTATTTTGAAGCTCTAAAAAAGCCGAATTCAAAAATTTTGATAAGCACAAAAAGTTATCGATTGTTGGGTAAAATGTTTGGGTAAATTGTAAAAATTTGAGTTCGGCGCGTTTAGAGCTTCAAAATGAGACTAAACATACATTATAACTACCGTATCTGTCTCGAATTATAACGAAACTCAAAATTTTTGGTAATTTTGAAGTTTTCCCGTTTAGAGCTTCAAAATGAGTATAAACAAGGCGAGGTTCTGTGAAAAGTGATTTTGGACTAAAAATGTTCAAACTACCGTAACTCGCTCCATTTTTGTCCAAGCTAAAAAATTTTTTTACTTTTGAATTTGTCATGTTTAGAGCTTCAAAATGAGTATAATCATCGCTAGGTTTAAAAGTTTTTCGTTTTTTGACTTTTTCGTGGTGGGACCCAAAAATGTAAAAAGGTCATATCTCGGCCAGTTTTTGTCCAAATTCGAAAATTTTTAGACGATTGGATTTTATTTGTTCCTGGCTTCAAAATGAATATAATCATCACTAAGTTTTTTCCAGATGAAAATCCTTCAAACCATTTGGCACATTTGGAGTCGCCTAGAGAAATTATCAACAACTGCAAAATATCGTCGAGTTTCTGGAAAAATTAAGAAAACTGAAGTTGTGGTACAAAATGGAGTTCTAATCGACATCGGTGACGTGGATTTTGATTCCAGTTGGTTGAGTGATTATCCGAATGAAATTGTCCGAGGGTGAGTCTGAAATTCAAAAAATCGTTTCGAAAACTTTTTTTGAGCTCATTTTGAAGCTCACAACGGGCTCTATTCAATTTTTGCTGTACAAATTCAAAATTTTCAGGCTGAGAGCTTCAAAATGAACCCAAACACGCCAAGGTTCGGCGATGTTTGAAATTTCGGACGCGTCGCGGTCGTGCGTCGCGTTTTTTTGCAAAAAATCGAAATTGACAGAATCAAGTCGTGATCGGGCTCATTTTGAAGCTCAGAATGTGCTAATTATAAATCTTAAGCTGCAAATCTAGATTTACCAAGCTGAGAGTTTCAAAACGAGCTTAAACACGACTTAAATACGTCAAATTTGAATTTTGGCAAAAAAACACGCAACGCACGACCGCGACGCGTCCGAAATCTGAAAAACAGGCTGAGAGCTTCAAAATGAACCCAAACACGCCAAGGATCGGCTATGTTTGAAATTTCGGACGCGTCGCGGTCGTGCGTCGCGTATTTTGGCCGAAAATCAAATATGATGTAATTGAGTCGTGATGGAGCTCATTTTAAAGCTCAGAATGTGCTCGCATCAAATTTTAGAGTGCAAATCTAAATTTTTCAAATTGAGAACTTCAAAATAAGCCGAAACATGTCAAAATTTGAGAAAATTTGAAATTTGCTTAATTTGAAGCTCAGAATGTTCCCATTTCTAATTTTGCAGTTCAAATTTAGATTTTCCAGATTATGAGCTTCAAAATAAGTTCAAATACGCCTATATTCGGAGAATTTTCAGATTTTGGACGCGTCCGCGGTCGTGCGTTGCGTGTTTTTTGCCAAAATTCAAATTTGACGTATTTAAGTCGTGTTTAAGCTCGTTTTGAAACTCTCAGCTTGGTAAATCTAGATTTGCATCTTAAGATTTAAAATTAGCACATTCTGAGCTTCAAAATGAGCCCGATCACGACTTGATTCTGTCAATTTCGATTTTTTGCAAAAAAACGCGACGCACGACCGCAACGCGTCCGAAATTTCAAACATTGCCGAACCTTGGCGTGTTTGAGCTTATTTTAAAGCTCTTAACCTGAAAAGTGTGGATTCGAACAGCAAAATAGGATATGGGAACATTCTGAGCTTCAAAATAAGCAAATTTCAAAATTTGTCGAATTTTGGCATTTTTCGGATTATTTTGAAGCTCTGCTCGATTTGAAAATTTGATATTTGCATCTCAAAATTTGAAAGTAGCACATTCTGAGCTTCAAAATGAGCCCCATTACGACTCAATTACATCATATTTGATTTTCGGCCAAAACACGCGACGCACGACCGCGACGCGTCCGAAATTTCAAACATCGCCGAACCTTGGCGTGTTTGGGCTCATTTTAAAGCTCTCAGCTTGAAAAATTCGAATTTGAACAGCAAAATTTGAAACGAGCACATATTGAGCTTCAAAATGAGCCAGATCACAAAAAACTCAAAAAAAAATTTATTTTTTCAAATTTTTAACTCAAAAAATCACACTTTCAGATTCCTCATGCACTCCTCTTGCGATCAATTCACAGTAACCGATGGTTTATACGCTCTACAGCTTACTGACATCGAATTAACTTATATGTTAGCCCAGTTATGTTTTCAATATGCTGGAAATCGATATCAAGGAAAAATTCAAGAAGTTTGCGATCGATTTCTGACCGTATTATCAAATGATCTACATGATTATTATGTAAATGAAATGGATAATCCAAGATATGCTCAAAGATTGGCAAAAATGATGCAGTTGAATAATGCGATACAGGTCATTTCGAATTTTTGAGACCCGAAAAGTGTAAAACTACAGTAACTCTTCCAATTTTTGACCTGGATGAAAAATTTTTGCAGATCCAGTTTTAACTTTTTTAGAGCTTCAAAATGAGTATAATCATGACCATATTTGAAATTTCAAGTATTTTACGATTTTCGTGGTGGGACCCTAAAAGTGCAAAACTACCATAACTTGGTCATTTTTCGACTAAATTGAAAAATGTTTGCAGAGTTCAATTTGTCTTGTTTAGAGCTTCAAAATGAGTATAATCATGACCATACTTGAAATTTCAAGGTTTTTACGATTTTCGTGGTGGGACCCGAAAAGTGTAAAACTACCATAACTTGGTCATTTTTCGAGCAAATTCGAAACTTTTTGCGGATTTGAATTTAACGCGTTCAGAGCTTCAAAATGAGTTTAAACATGACTAGGTTGGAAATTTTGAGATTTTACGATTTTCGTGGTGGGACCCGAAAAGTGCAAAACTACCGTAACTCTTCCAATTTTTGACCTGGATGAAAAATTTTTACAGATTTGAATATTACTTGTTTAGAGCTTCAAAATGAGTTTAAACATGACTAGGTTGGAAATTTTGAGATTTTTACGATTTTCGTGGTGGGACCCGAAAAGTGCAAAACTACCGTAACTCTTCCAATTTTTGACCTGGATGAAAAATTTTTACAGATTTGAATATTACTTGTTTAGAGCTTCAAAATGAGTATAAACATGACTAGGTTGGAAATTTTGAGATTTTTATGATTTTCGTGGTGGGACCCGTTCCTACCGTTCCAAAATTTTTGATTTTCGGCTAAACTTACGGGATTACTGTAATTTTTTAAATCCAAATTTTCAGCAAAACATCCGCTGCGGTCGGGACCGAATGCATTTGGTACACACATTTGGTCTACTGAAGCTAGAATTCACACATCCAGAAATGTTCCGCGATTCTGGATTTCATTGATTTTGTACTATTTTAAAAATTGATATAATTTTTTTTAATTTGAAATTATTTCTCTTCTGACCTCTGATTAATACACGAAAATGAAATTTTGTAATCTATCGTACATTTTGCAAATCTGCCAAGCTCCGCCCACTTTTCTCCTATGCCAAGTCGAATGGCATAAGACAGTTTAGGTTTGGCGAAGAGGCATGGAGGACACGAATTAAATGACAATTGACAATTAATTCGGACGAGAGAGAGTGTGGGGGAATTGAGAGACGCAGAGACAGAGAAGAGATTTGGTCGGTGGAGACGTGAATAAAAGGAAAAGAGAGAAGAGGGAGAAGGGATAAAGATCTGGCCCATTCTGATTAACCCACTCATTGACGGATGCTTTCTGGAATTTTCTTTGTATTAATTGTCAGAATTTTGGAATAGAATTGGGATTTTATAAATTTTGAAAATTTCTATTTTCACTAATTTTTAGGTTTTTATTGTTAACCAGCAAGCTGGTATCTAGTTTATTACTAAATCGTCCCTCCACTCTTTACGTTTTTTAAAGACTCACGTATATCTATTTTTATTTTTTTCAATTTTTAAAAAGTTGCCTAGTTTTCGACCAAAGTGAAATTTTTCTGCAGATTTGAGTTCTACTTGTTTAGAGCTTTAAAATGAGTATAAACACGACTAGGTTCGAAATTGCCAACTTTTCGTGATTTTCGTGATTTCGTGGTGGGACCCCCCCCCCCCTAATTATCAACTTTGAGCCAAATTATCTCGGTTCCCTTAAAAGATATCAGAAAACTTTCAACTGATAAATTGTTTATCATAATATCCTACACATTTTATCAGTTGACACATTTTTGATATCTCTTATAGGAGCTCAAATAATTGAGCTCAAACTTGACAGTGTGGGGCGGGCCGCTCTATTACAGGTTTTACGGTAATTTATCATTTTTCGGACGAAATACACTTTTCGTATTTTGTATTGTTTCTAATCAAATTAGAAGATCAAGTACTCTGTATCTCACCGTATGATCGGAAAATCAGTCTGAAGAGAAAGAGAGAGAGAGAGAGAGAGAGAGAGAGAGAGAGAGAGAGAGAGAGAGAGGCGCAGACATAGAAAAATCTAGTAATACATACATTTTCATTTCGTTAGTAGATGTCCTTGTACGTATGATGGGGTTGTTTTTTGTGTAATTCTCCTTAAATTGGCCGAAAGAAAAAATTTTTTGAATTTTTTTTTTGAAATTTCTATATTTTCACATTTCCTGAAATTCTATTTAATCTCTACCCCTTCCGGGGACATTTTTAATTGAATTAATTGAAATTCAATTAACTTTTTTCTTTTAAATTCTAGTTTCACTACATTTCTATAGTCTAGTTGAATGCCGTAACCACTCTAATAGAACGCCACCCGAATCGTCAAATTGGAGCCCATGTATCTCATTTTCTGTAAAAGATATCAAAAAGTGGTCAACTGATAAAATGTTGCTGATATCATGATAAACATTTTATCAGTGGACAACTTTTTGATATCTTTTTCAGTAACCGAGATAATTAAACTTAAAGTTAAGGGTCCTAAAATATAGGGTCGCTCCCTGACAGTCAACTTTAAGCTCAATTATCTCGGTTCTTATCAGAGATATCAAGAAGTAGTTAACTGATAAAATGTTGCTGATATCATGATAAACATTTTATTTGTTGACAACTTTTTGATATCTTTCAAAAGAAGTGAGATATATAAGCCCAAGGTGAACGGTCCGGGTGGCCCTTCTATTAGAGTGTTTACGGTATTTTTGATTTGTTTTTTCCCGATATTCGAAATTTCAAAATTTCCAGATGAACCCTGAAAAACAATGCCAAATCTGTTCAAAGTCCTCGAATGGAATGCATTTTGGTGCTATGACCTGTCGCGCCTGCGCCGCGTTTTTCAGACGAGCAGTGGTCCTGAAATTGGAGTATACGTGTAAAGAGAAGAAAATGTGTCACTTGGAAGTTGTTGGAAGGTACGGTAATCTTTTAATCGTTGAAAAAAAGTTTATGAAAATTGAAAATTTCAATTCAGGAAGTTAAAAGCTTCAAAATGAGTATAAACATGACCATATTTGAGATTTCAAGATTTTTATGATTTTCGTGCTGGGACCCTGAAAGTGTAAAACTACCGTAACTCGGCTATTTTTTCACCAAATTAGAAAATTTTTGTAGTTATGAATTAAGTTTGTTTTGAGCTTCAAAATGAGTATAAACACGACTATATTAGAGATTAAATGATTTTTACGATTTTCGTGGAGAGACCCAAAAAGTGTAAAACTACCGTAACTCTTCCAATTTTTGACCTGGATGAAAAATGTTTGCAGATCCAATTTTAACTTGTTTAGAGCTTCAAAATGAGTATAATCATGACCATACTTGAAATTTCAAGTATTTTACGATTTTCGTGTTGGGACCCTGAGATTGTAAAACTACCGTAACTTGCCTATTTTTCGACTAAACTTAAAAATTTTTGCGGATCTGAATTTTATTTGTTTAGAGCTTAAAAATGAGTATAAACACAATAATATTCTTAAAAAAATTTTTTTTTCAATTTTCAAAATTTTTCAGATCCATTTGCCGCTACTGTAGATTTGAAAAGTGCAAGGAGATTGGGATGGATCCTGAAAGTAACTTTAATTTTTAAAAATCTAAAATTCTGAAAAAAATTTTTCAGAAGTGGTCCTGGATTACGATCCAACGGCATCTCAAAAAGTTCCAGTTATGGCGAAAACATCTGAAAAATCTGAAATTTCTGAAAATCCTACAGTATCGAATCCGATGGCTCAAAAAGAAAAAACCACGATAAAAATCGATTTTTCTGAGACAGTGGAAAAAATTGAGGAGATTTTTGAGGTAATTAAAATTTTTTTTTAATTTTTGAAAAAAAAATTTCAGACAAGACGAGATTCAGAAACTGAGGACGAGGAAGAGGGCCCAAAAATTTATCTGAATGATTTACAAAATTTAACAAAAGGATTAAAAGAATTCCGAGAAAATATTCGACCGAAAATTGAAATTGAGGTGGATGTGTTTTTTTTTGAAAATTTTAAAAATCGCAGTGAGACTTAAAAACTACCGTATCTCAGTCAATTTTTGCCAGAACTCAAAAATTTTTGTAGTTTTGAATGTAGCTAAATAAGAGCTTCAAAATGAGTATAAACACGACCAGGTTTAAATTTTCAGATTTTTATGATTTTCCTGGTGAGACCCAAAAAGTGTAAAACTACCGTATCTCGGTCAATTTTTGCTAGTGCTCAAAAATTTTTGTAGTTTTGATTTTTGCCTAAGAAGCGCTTCAAAATGAGTATAAACACGACCAGGTTTAAATTTTCAGATTTTTATGATTTTCGTGGTGGGACCCAAAAAGTGTAAAACTACCGTATCTCGATCAATTTTTGCCAGAGCTCAAAAATTTTTGTAGTTTTGATTTTTGCCTGAGAAGAGCTTCAAAATGAGTATAAACATGACTAAGTTTCATAAATTTTCAAATTTGGTCATTTTTGACATTTTTTGCCCAAAAAAACCCCCAAAAAACGAAATTTGTCAAAACTAGTCGTGTTTATACTCATTTTAAAGCTCTAAGCCAGTAGAACTCGAATCTGCAACAGTTTTTCGATTTGGCTGAAAAATAGCCGAGTTACGGTACTTTTACACTTTCAAGGTCTAACCACGAAAATCACAGAAACCTTTTTTTTTTCAAACATAAGCTTGATTATACTCATTTTGAAGCTCTAAACATCCCAAGTACAAAACCGTACAAATTTTTTAGACCGCACAAAAATTGAAAAAGTTATGACAGTTTTACAGAAAATCTAAAAATCACGTTTTTCAAGTCAACCGCTATGTTTTGGAGCTAAATTCAAAAAATCAAAATTCTAGAAATTGGGAAAAGCGGACATGAAAAAAGTGTTCTACTGGCTGAATGTACGAATTCGAAAGTATGCGAAATGGTTCTCCCATGCTACATATTTAATGGAAAAACTGCCAATGGACCAGAAATTCCAGTTATACCGTACCTCTTGGAATGTAATGAGAATTTTTGAACGTCTTTCAATGACCTGGATGCATTATGGACAAGAAATGTTTGATGGAAATGTAAGTGGGGTTTCTGAATTTCCGAATTTCCGGATTTCCGGATTTCTGAATTTCCAAATTTTTGATTCCAAAAATATAAAAAATCAATATTTCAGTTCATATTGGTCAGTGATGAAACTGTAATGGTGATTGATAAGAGCTTGATACATTTCGAAGAGATTTCAGAATTGACCGATCGATATTTTCAAAGGTGAGTGTGAAACTCAAATTTGTCGTGTTTCACGCTTCAAAATGAGTATAATCATGACTAGATTTGAAATATATGGTTTTTTGACTTTTCGTGGTAAGACCCAAAAAGTGTAAAATGGTCATATCTCGGTTAGTTTTGACCCGAAAATGACGAAATTACTACCAATCGATTTGACTTGTTTCAAGCTTTCAAATAAGTATAATCATTACTAGATTGGAAAATTTTTTGATTTTTTGACTTTTCGTGGTGGGACCCAAAAAGTATAAAACTACCGTATCTCGGTCAGTTTGGACCCGAAAATGACCAAATTGCTACCAATCAATTTGACTTGTTTCACGCTTCAAAATGAGTATAATCATGACTAAATTTGATATTTTTTGATTTTTTGACTTTTCGTGATAAGACCCTGAAAGTTGAAAACTACCGTAACTCAGTTAGTTTTGACCCGAAAATGACAAAATTGCTACCAATCAATTTGACTTGTTTCACGCTTCAAAATGAGTATAATCATGACTAGGTCTGAAATTTATGGTTTTTCGACTTTTCGTGGTGGGACCCAATAAAATGTAAAATGCTCATATCTCGGTTAGTTTTTGTCCAAACTCAAACATTTTTTGACCATTGAGTTTCATTTGTTTTTGGCTTTAAAATGAATATAATCATCACTAGGTTTGAGAAATTTCGATTTTTTGGGTCCCACCACGAAAACATATTTTTTAAATTTTTTTTCCAACTATGGTCATGTTTATACTTATTTTGAAGGTCTCAACTCCCTAAATTCAAAACTTTGGGTTATATCAAAAAAAAATTGAAGATTACTGTAGTTTTACAGTGTTTTTTAAAAATTTTCAACAAAAAAAAATCAAAATCGTCTAACTTTTTTATTTTTCGGCGGATTTTTAAGATTTTTACACCAAAATATTTGAAATTTTCAGCATTTTCAGAATCTAAAAAAAACTACAAAAACTACAGAATACAAAATTCTAATTTCCAGACTTTTCCATCCATTTCTGAACAAGTACATGGAAGAGGTAGCTCGACCGATGGCTGAACTCGATTTGACCGAAGAGGAAGTGGTCTTTTGTATGGTCCACATTTTGGGATTCGATGGTACAGTAGCCCAGAACTACAAAAAATCAATAATCAATTTTCAAGTTTTAGTGACCGATTTGGCACCGGAAACGCTGGAAATTTTGCACAAATTCAAAGAAATCATTGCTGACCAAATGCACAATTATTATATAAATTCAACAAATCACAAAGTGTATTCACATCGGATACTGAAATTGATGAAGTTGGTCAAAACGATTACGGTTGGTGATTTTCGTTGCGGGACTCAAATATCGAAAATCTTCAAACCTGGCCATGATTATACTCATTTTGAAGCCAAAAACAAATAAAACTCAATGGTCAAAAAATTTTTGAATTCGGACAAAAATTGACCGAGATACGACCATTTTACATGTTTTGGGTTCCACCACGAAAAGTTAAAAAATCGTTAAAAAATCAAATATAGCGATGATTATACTCATTTTGAAGCTAAAAACAAGAGAAATCGATTGGTTGTAATTTCATCATTTTCGACGCAAAAATAACAGAGATACGGTAGTTTTAGTAATTCGTGGCGGGACCCAAATTTTAAATTTTTTCAAACTTTTTTTCAAGTCATGATTATACTCATTTTGAAGCTCTTGTCATGCCAATTTTAAATATTTTAGTTGCATGGGTCCCAACACGAAATCTCTTGGGTTACTGTAGTTTTTCTATTCGAAACTCAAAAAATTGGATTTTCCGCCAAAAAATTAGTTCTAAATTAAATTTTTTCAGACAATCGCAAGGGAGAAGGCAAAAATCAAAGAAGTGATTTGGATTTTCGACATCTACAAAGCCGAAATATCGGATCCATATTTTTTTCAAATGTTTTAACTAATTTTTTGAGTTTTTTGAATAAAATATTGGCTTTAAATCTGTTTTTCAATTATTTTTCTTAAAAATTTCAAGTTTTCTGATTTTTTTTACATGCTTTTTACTAAAAAAAGTGAAAAAATGAGTCTGAATATGCTGAAAATGAGTTTTCAGCATTTTGAGGGTCAAAATTTAAACCTCGCGCTAGTTTAGAAGTCCAGTGGAGCGCGCTTGCTTCACTACGACACTCCGAAATTAAGCATGCGCGCGTTGTTTACCGTAAATCCTCCCATAATTTCGCGAATTTCGTCGATTTTTCCCACCTATTTCGATGAATTCCGGCGAGATTTTCGAGGAAATTTTCAATCGTATGCTATTTTTTATGATTTTTAACGATTTTTTGACAATTTCAGACTTCAAACGCGATGGAATCGACCGAGATTGGCGCGGAATGTGCCAACATTTCAAAGATCAGGAGGAAAAATCGAAAATTCGACGAATCGTGACTCGAGTCGTTTGTGGAAGAGTGAATATGTTCGAAGCGGGCAAAGAGGTTGGATTTGAAGCGAAAAAAAAAATTTTTTAAGCTAAAAATTTTTTTTTCCAATATTCCAACTCAAAAATCGATTTTTTCCAGGTAGAAGCTCTTAATGCATCACTTTTTCCGGATTTTCGTCAATTTTTGCTCAAATTCGAGTCCACGTTTCAAAAAGTGCCGCCCCTTCATCGAACCACGCTCAACACCCAACTCCTACTGAAATTCATCGATTTCCTGGCTGAAAATCCGGAAAATCAGTTGGACTACGCGGGTTTTCTGGATATTTCTAGATATATGACCACAGCGACGAATGTGAGTGCTTTTAGACTGAAAAAAACCAAAAAATTCTGCAATTTTCAGGTTCTGATCAAGGATTTGGTCGAAATGGCTGTACAATTGTATCCGGATGACAAGAAACCGCGAAAAATTGGCGCACAGGACCTTCTGGACGGTGTGGAGATGTCCGGACAGGCGAATGATCCGATTTATACTGAAGAACCGTTTTTGAAGCTAAAAAAGAAGGTTGGACTTGAAAAATTTGATTTCTAGATGAAAAAATTAGAGAATCTGGCGTTTAAAGCCAGAAAAATGCAATTTTTAGAGTTAAAATTAGCAAATTTCAGCTTAAATTCGCCCAAAAACTTTGAATTTCAAGTCTGGACGAATTTTCAGCGTTTCTAGCCTGTTTTGAACTGATAAAGTCAGTTTTGAGCTCGAAAAAAGGGTTTTTTTACCCAAAAATCAGAAATTTCCAGCCAAAATCGATCTTAGAAACGTTCATTTTCAATTTAAACTGTTCTTATCCGAGAAAAATTGAATTTTAGCTCTAAAATTTGATTTTTAGCTTCAAATAACAAGTTTTCAGCAATTTTTGACCACAAAATTCCGAATTTTCGGTCAAATTCGCCCAAAACCCTTTGAATTTCAAGTCTAGCCGAATTTTCAGCGTTTCTGACCGATTTTGGACTGATAAAGTCGATTTTAAACACGAAAAAAGGGGGCTTTTGATCTGAAAATTGAAATTCGACGCCAAAATCGCTTTTGGAGATTCAATTTTCAACCCGAATGATTTAAATCCGATTTTAGCAGTGTTGAGACGAAAAACATTGCATGTTGGCTAAAAATCCACATTTTTAGAGTCGAAACGTCAATTTCAGGTCCAAAAATGGAATTTTCAGCTATTTTCTCTCCCAAAAATCCCAATTTTTAGTCGAAATCCGCTCGGAAGCTTCGAATTCGAGTCTAGACGAATTTTCAGCGTTTCTGGCCGATTTCGTAGCTATAAACTCGAATTTCAGCATAATTTCAACATAAAAATCGAATTTTCCAGCCAAAATCGAGCTGAAAAACGTCAATTTTCGACCCATATGATTTTAAACCGATTTCAACAGTTTTGACTGCAAAATTCGGCTTTATGGTCAAGAAATCCGATTTTTAGCTCCAAAAAATGGATTTTCAGCAATTTTTACCCCAAAAATTCGTAATTTCCATCCAAATTTAGCCCCTAGAAGCTTCAAAATTCAGTTAAGGGTGATTTGCAGCGTTTCTAGCAAATTTTGGACATATACAGTCGATTTTAAGCAAAATTTTGCCCTAAAAATTGGAAATTTCAACCCCAAATCGATCTTAGAAACGTTAATTTCAAATGGCTTCAACGGTTCTGAGTCGAAAAACATCGAATTTTGGCTTAAAAATCATATTTGTGAGTCAAAAATTGCAATTTTCAGCAGTTTTTTCCCCAAAAATTCCGAGTTTTCAGTCAAAATCCGCCCCCGAAAGCTTCGAATTCGAGTCTAAACAAATTTCTAGCGTTTCTGACCGATTTTGGAGCTATAAAGTTGATTTTAAGCATAACTTTGACCGGGTAATTGAAGTTTAACAACAAAATCGAGCTCATGAACGTTTCCGGAACGATTTTTAGTCGATTTTAGTAATTTTGGCTCAAAATCCATATTTTCAGAGTCAAAAACGTCAATTTCAGACCCAAAAAATGGATTTTCAGCTATTTTCAATCCCTAAAATCCCAATTTTTTCAGCTCATCGAAATCTCGAAAGTCTCCGAACCACCACAGGATCGTAGAATTCTCTCGGAAGCGGCCGCCGAAAATTCGCAAAAAACCGACTAATTATCGTTATAATTGCCCATAATTGTTAATTAATTATTGTTGTCGTTAATTTGCTCAATTTGCCCAATCGATCTTTGATTTTTTTTCAAAATTGTGTCATTTTTTAATATATTTTTTCCAATTTTTTTTTGTTATTTTAAGGGTTTTGAACCCATTTCATCGTATTTTCAGCTCATTTTGAGCCTTTCAAGACCCGAAAAGCCCCTATTTTCAGCCAAAAATCATGGGTAAATCTTCGAAAATCGAGAAAAAATCGAAAAAAGACGGAAAAAATGGTGGTCCAAAGGCTCCTGAAGGTGCGAATTCTGGAAAAGCGTCGCGTTTCACGATGTCCGAGAGGAATTTGGGTCTGATGCAGGAGATTATTCGAAAAGATCCCGAGAGTTATAAAGAGGTAATAATCTAGTTGAAAATTTGGAAAATTCCGGGTTTTTGAGCCAAAAAAACGCCTCAAAACGCTGAAAATTTTTAGAAAAATTGGTTTTTTCAAGCTAGAAAACGTCAAAAATTGAAAATTTTCAGTTTTTGAGTCAGAAATTATGAATTTTAGCTTTGAAAATTGCTAAAAAAGACTCAAAAATTGTTTTCTGATTATTCAAAGCTGAAAATCAGTTTTTTTCTAGCTGGAAAACGTTGAAAATTCAGAAATTTAGCTTTATTTTTAAGCCAAAAATCTCGATTTTTAGCCTTGAAAATTGCTGAAAATGCTGCTTAAAATAGTGATTTTCTGCTGAAAAAGACCTAAATTTTGCTTTAAAAAAGCCTATGTTTCGAGCTAAAAATCTAGCAAACTTTTCTCAGAAAATTGCGATTTTTGCGCTGAAAAATAGCTGAAAATTGCGATTTTTTAAGCTAAAAAAAAACGCTAAATTTGCTTAGAAAATGTCAGAATTTCGGCTTTAAAAATTGCCGATTTTTGAGCAAAGTTGAAAAATTGGCTGAAAATCGACGAAAAAAACCCGGATTTTTAAACGAATTTCGAGAAAAATTTCGTCTTTGACAAAATTGATTCTCGAGCTGAAAATCTAGAAAAATTCAACATTTCTCGGCTCAAATTTGATGATTTTCGACCGAAAAATGACTGATTGAACCCCTAGAATAATGGATTGTGATCCGAAAATAATGATTTTCAATCTACAGTAACCTCCTCAAAAAAGGGGTTTTTAAGACCCAAAAATGCTGAAATCGGGCATTTGTCGACCTGAAAATACCCAAATCTGGCTATAAAATTGCAAAAATTTCAATTTTAGAGCTTTTTCGACCCGAAAACAACCAGAATTTGGGTCTAAAATCGTCAAAATTACAATTTTAAGACTCTAAATTGCTCAAAAAAACGCCCCAAAACCCCCAATTTTCCAGGAATTCCTGGAGCAATTCAACTATTTCGTGCAAACGATGAAACTTCTCCACCTGCAACCCGAACAGAATCGTCAGGAGACCCAATCTCTTCAGGATTCCGTCCTTTTCCTCTCCGGATTGGCTAAGCACTATCCGAAAGAGGCCAAACAATTCGCGGATAGTTTGTTCGAGTTGTTGAGAGTACAAGGAGCCGGGTTGGATGCTGATGTGAGTATGGAACAGGTTGAAAATGAGCTGAAAATCGATAACAATTAACTAATAATGGCTGAAATCGATCTAAAAATGATTAAAAATGGCTGGAAATGAGCTGAAAATGGCTGAAATCGATCTGAAAATGGCTAAAATCGTTCTAAAAATAGCTGAAATTGAGCTAAAAATGGTTGAAAATTTAGCTAAAAATAGTTGAAACTGAGCTATGGCTGAAAATAGCTGAAAATAATTGAAATTGAGCTAAAAATGGTTCAAATTGCGCTAAAAAGGCCTCCACCGTTCTAAAAATGGTTGAAAATTTAGCTAAAACTAGTTGAAACTGAGCTAAAAATGGCTGAAAATGAACTAAAAATAGTTGAAACTGAGCTAAAAATGGCTGAAAATGAACTAAAAATGGCTCAAAATGAGCTAAAACTAGTTGAA